CGAGTGCGCCGTGATTCCCGAGATCCGAATAAACGAGGCCGAGGGGAAATCGGAGATCCATCGATCGGTCTCCGAGGAGAATCACGATTCGAGCCACCACACGAAATAAACATGTCGTCAGAAAGGAAGGAAGAAAGCTGTTTCTCTTCTTGTTCCTCCATTCTCACGGTTTTAATACTGAAATGATTTATTTGTTCTCTGTTCCATGTTAAGTTTCATTTCACGTATATGTATAGCGTGCGCTGCGCGTCGCGGCTCGTCGATTGTAAAATCTTAAAGCTAGTCCCGTCTTACACACGGTTTCTACGTTGAGGTATAAAATCGAAGACATGTCCTCCTGTCGAGTACGTCAGAACGTCGAGAAGCTTTCACACACTCGCATACACTCACGAGACGGTCGCACGCGGAGCCGGCGCGGGCTTAGAAACATCAAAGGACCACTTTCGTCGGAGCTTTTCCCTCTCTCCACGAACACTCTGAACGTTTAGAATCGTTCCTCTGGATTTATACGTGAATTTTAGAGCCACTGTATCTGTAGGTTGCGACGAAAAACACCGATGTTAGATGTTTATACTTTTAACACATTGACAGCCGCCCCGCGAAAACGCGGGTTTTTGAGTCTGTCGCTTGAGCGCCGGCCTCGCGAAAACGCAGATTTTTGAGTCCGTAATAAATATATGTAATAATCCACCATGAAATGAGAAACTGTATTTTTTTTATAATTATAAATTAAAAATTTCGATTTTGTTTAAATTTTTAATTACCGTTAATTTGTATACGAAGAATATGCAAATAAAAAATGTACTATTTTACGAAAATATATTCAGTGATCAGAAACAAGCGAATAAGAGACCGGCGTTCGGGGTTTAAGTGGCCGATACGTTGCCGGCGCTCAGGCTTTAAATGTCTCTTAGGTCGCCGGCTATCAATGTGTTAAGATACTGTCGCTTATAAAGTTCTAATCACGAATTGTTCGTATCAGCAGAGTCTCTTCGTTTACAATTTTCTTCGTTTTAAGCATGCTGAATTCGTTTTCGTGATATTTTTCCTGATAAATTCGTAAATCCGATATTTTACAGTCGAAGTAATGCATGAACTTTCAGTGACTAGCATTTGTATTCGCATACTTTTTAACCCTTCGCACTCGAAGCTCTAAAATAATAGATCTAAAATAGTAATAATAATAACAGATCTAATAATAGATCTAAAATTAATATCTGTAGATCTAAAATAATTTTTCTGACCTATAGTATTTTCATTTTATACGACAAAATGTATTTTATGCGTACGAAGTTGAATTTTACGACTCGCAGAGCAGTTACATATTCACGAAATTTTTAAATCTAAACTTTGTTAATATAAAAATTACCTTAGAACGCGATATAATAAATTTTAATGGTGCCTCAGAGTCACCGCCCGAGTGCAAAGGGTTAAAACGGAATAACCTTTTTAAAAGGGGACAAAGTGATTTGTATTTTTTTTTTCCAGCTGTTAGAGATACTATTTTACTAGAGAATATCTACAACATGTTTTTAATAACGATTAGATGGAATGAAAGAAAGAATAAGAAACTCCCGTCATTTAACTCTTCTATCCGATCTGATAACGAAAGTTTAAAAAATGCGTTTTGTAGATCTCGGTAAGTTGTATGCATACCGAAAATTTGATCGAAATCGCTTAACACTGGGTCAAGCTACAGACGATAAAAGACGTGGNTCGCCTCTCATTGGTCACTGATTTTCGTCGATAACTCGTAAACGAAGCCGCGGTTTGCATTTTCGCTAAGGAGAAAGTTGCTTCAAATGATCTCAGGAACCCTTCACTTTCAAAATAAAAGGCTCAAATATGTGAATTATTCTGTCGAAAAGAAATATGTATCTATATGATTCTAATTAGGATCGCGAGGACTCTCCACGACTCCTGGGAGTCTCAATTCAGCGAGTGCGCCGTGATTCCCGAGATCCGAATAAACGAGGCCGAGGGGAAATCGGAGATCCATCGATCGGTCTCCGAGGAGAATCACGATTCGAGCCACCACACGAAATAAACATGTCGTCAGAAAGGAAGGAAGAAAGCTGTTTCTCTTCTTGTTCCTCCATTCTCACGGTTTTAATACTGAAATGATTTATTTGTTCTCTGTTCCATGTTAAGTTTCATTTCACGTATATGTATAGCGTGCGCTGCGCGTCGCGGCTCGTCGATTGTAAAATCTTAAAGCTAGTCCCGTCTTACACACGGTTTCTACGTTGAGGTATAAAATCGAAGACATGTCCTCCTGTCGAGTACGTCAGAACGTCGAGAAGCTTTCACACACTCGCATACACTCACGAGACGGTCGCACGCGGAGCCGGCGCGGGCTTAGAAACATCAAAGGACCACTTTCGTCGGAGCTTTTCCCTCTCTCCACGAACACTCTGAACGTTTAGAATCGTTCCTCTGGATTTATACGTGAATTTTAGAGCCACTGTATCTGTAGGTTGCGACGAAAAACACCGATGTTAGATGTTTATACTTTTAACACATTGACAGCCGCCCCGCGAAAACGCGGGTTTTTGAGTCTGTCGCTTGAGCGCCGGCCTCGCGAAAACGCAGATTTTTGAGTCCGTAATAAATATATGTAATAATCCACCATGAAATGAGAAACTGTATTTTTTTTATAATTATAAATTAAAAATTTCGATTTTGTTTAAATTTTTAATTACCGTTAATTTGTATACGAAGAATATGCAAATAAAAAATGTACTATTTTACGAAAATATATTCAGTGATCAGAAACAAGCGAATAAGAGACCGGCGTTCGGGGTTTAAGTGGCCGATACGTTGCCGGCGCTCAGGCTTTAAATGTCTCTTAGGTCGCCGGCTATCAATGTGTTAAGATACTGTCGCTTATAAAGTTCTAATCACGAATTGTTCGTATCAGCAGAGTCTCTTCGTTTACAATTTTCTTCGTTTTAAGCATGCTGAATTCGTTTTCGTGATATTTTTCCTGATAAATTCGTAAATCCGATATTTTACAGTCGAAGTAATGCATGAACTTTCAGTGACTAGCATTTGTATTCGCATACTTTTTAACCCTTCGCACTCGAAGCTCTAAAATAATAGATCTAAAATAGTAATAATAATAACAGATCTAATAATAGATCTAAAATTAATATCTGTAGATCTAAAATAATTTTTCTGACCTATAGTATTTTCATTTTATACGACAAAATGTATTTTATGCGTACGAAGTTGAATTTTACGACTCGCAGAGCAGTTACATATTCACGAAATTTTTAAATCTAAACTTTGTTAATATAAAAATTACCTTAGAACGCGATATAATAAATTTTAATGGTGCCTCAGAGTCACCGCCCGAGTGCAAAGGGTTAAAACGGAATAACCTTTTTAAAAGGGGACAAAGTGATTTGTATTTTTTTTTTCCAGCTGTTAGAGATACTATTTTACTAGAGAATATCTACAACATGTTTTTAATAACGATTAGATGGAATGAAAGAAAGAATAAGAAACTCCCGTCATTTAACTCTTCTATCCGATCTGATAACGAAAGTTTAAAAAATGCGTTTTGTAGATCTCGGTAAGTTGTATGCATACCGAAAATTTGATCGAAATCGCTTAACACTGGGTCAAGCTACAGACGATAAAAGACGTGGAAATCTTTCGCTATCTTTAATTATTTATAACTCATAACGTCGACAGATTTCGAAACAATTTTCAGCATGTATATAAGTTACCGAGATGTACAAAACTGATTTTTTAAATTTTCGTTGTAGGCGTAGAGCCCCGTTTTAGATTTAAAGCCCCGTCATTTAGTCCCGTTTCAAAACAAATTATATCGTTTTAAAGGGTGTCCAAATATTAATGCGACTCGCTGTACATTTTTTTGAAATTGTTACAGATATTCGCTGGTAGAAACAGTTGGTTAGTCTGAGTATTATGAAATTTCACGCTTTGTATATCGCGTTCCAAAATAATTTGTTCATGATCAAAAATTCGTTTATATTTTAAAAAACTGTTAAAAGTTAACTTATACAAGTAACTTAACTTTTAACAGTTTTTTTAAATATAAACGAATTTGATAATGAATATAAGGAATTTATTATAATATAATAATATAATATTATATTATATTATAATAAATTACTATAATTACTATATTATAATATAATATAATATTTATTTTTACTATATTATAATATATATAATATAATATTATATTATATTATAATAAATTACTATAATTACTATATTATAATATAATATAATATTTATTTTTACTATATTATAATATATATAATATAATATTATATTATATTATAATAAATTACTATAATTACTATATTATAATATAATATAATATTATATTATTGTATTATATTATTAATATAATATTATATTATATTATAATATTATATATTATATTATATTATAATATAAGTAAAACTTATTATAATATAAAATGGAAACACTATAAGCCAGAAAAGTTATTTTGGATTTACAGATAAAGTGGCTTAATTTTTCGAAAATGGTCCTCCGTTCAATTTGCAAAGGCCCTTGATTAATTACAGCTAAAATACTGACGACCCACGTGGAAATTTATTGCACGCGGAATGACCCGTTATCCGTTCAACGATTATCGTTATTTTCTAAACCAACACGCTACGAACATGTTTCCCGGCATTCCTTTTTCTGCGACGATCAACCGATGACGATTAAAACCTGACGTCGATGAATTATTAGAAAAGAGAAACCAGTCTCGCAAGAGAATCCACGATATAGTACTTCAATTACGCGCTTTCCACTGTCAAAGAGTTTCCCCTTTTCCCCCTGAAATGCCTTCGAGCCGGCGAAACAAAGAAAAAGTTGGCGGATACGTGAATCCTAAAACCGAAGTGCACTGCGCCGTTAAATGCAATCGAGGTCGACCCTACTATCGAGAAATTTACCGTCTGCATAACACAGCACGCGCCATTTTCGATACAATAAATACTCAGAACACATTTCGACCATTAATCATTAACTTTTACTAGTTACTAGCGTCTATAAAAAAATTCTACAACTATTCTCAGCATTCGTTCACCGTACTCGTCAAGTTTTTTTTACAAGAAGTTGCTACCCTAATTCAGAAGGTACAAATTATTTCTCATTCTCGGTCCACATTCAAATCCAGACTAGTCCACGCATACTTCAGCATTCCCGTTTCCTGTTTTACGTTCATTGTTATTGTCGTTTGGGTGCTCCAAAATACGTCCAATGTTTCTTCTGCAAAAAAACCTCACTGTTCCCTTGCTTCACTCGAACATCTAAACGTCGCTGTCATTTATGGTCATACGAGACGTTCGTTTTCTATAAAAATTTCAGAGCAACCAACATTTTCCCCGACAAATGAGTCTGATTTCGAAAATGCGGTCATTATGCTTCGTTTATCCGTTTCCTTCACGATTCCTTTCGCTAACGAAGGAACCAAAATCAGCTCCTTTCCTCCTTCAGAAAATGTTCTCATACAACCATGAAGAACAGAAACATTCGTCTATCCCATTCGAAAGCTCCACCGAGCATGAATGTTCTCATACAACCATGAAGAACAGAAACATTCGTCTATCCCATTCGAAAGCTCCACCGAGCATGAAGCAACGACCCTTTCTCAAATCGAAGCGATGTCCAAAATATTATCCAAATCTGTCGCATGAATTACGAAGCTGGTCCATGAACACTGGCCACGTTCTAACAGTCTGAATCGTTAGAACATTCCATCGTCCACGGTCAACGAAGAGTATCGAAGATACGAGGAGGTATCCTGGTCGGTTTCGGTCGTCGGTTGTCATCGTTCGTTCAGATTCGGATTGTATATCGGCCTGCTGTTGAGGTAGTTGGTCCCAGAGTTGTGAGTGGTCCGCACCTGCATGTACTTCGGCCGTTTGTTCCTGGTGCTCCAGTGAAGGTACGTGTACCAGCCGGCCACCATGGCGCCGAGCGCGTTGCAGGTGCACGAAAATATCAGCAGAATGGTCAGGATGCTCTCCACCTCCGGACAATTCAGGTCCATGTACCTGACCGCCGTCTCGGTGGAGTTCGTTGCATCTTCGCGGGGCCTGCACACGCAGGTGGCGTTTAATACGCGCGCGGGGCTGCACTCCAACCCCATCAGACGCGCCAGGTGCAACGCCGAGAACACGCAGGCGATGGAGCAGGTTGCTGTTGCCAGGGTCGCGAGAAACACGCTAATTACCTGCGTAGAGGAAACGAGACGTTTAGTGTTACCGTTCTAAGAGTACTGTACAAAAATTGATTTCACAAGTAAAGAAATGTTTTTTTTTCGTAGCTGAACTGGGTAAGTCGTAAAAGTAGAGAGAAAATGGTAATGGGGGTGGCTGTATAAAAATTGATTTTACAAGTAGAGAAACTTTTGGTTCATTCCTATTAACACGTTCCGTGCCACGTGTACCATCGATGGTACACGCTTGCATGTTTACTTAGTGAACTGAACAAATTGTTTACAAGAAATTTAGAACCGAAGAATCAATTTCCACCGCAAGAATGGGCGTTGATAAGTTTTTGTTACGTTGTTATGTGTACGAGAATTAATAATTGCACGTAATACATCAAGTTTTAGTAAAATATCAAAGTGTGAAGATTCGAGTAAAAAAAGCTCGGCACGGAACGTGTTAATCGCTTCGCTCAAATGGACGTGTTATGTCGCGACAACAATACTACATGTATGCAGGGTGTTCCAAAATTATGATAGATTTAATATAATAATATTATATAATTAATAATAAAAATAAATATAATTAATAATAATAATTAGATCATTTTCGACCGCCTTGTGCCAGCCGAGCTCATCTCTCATTGGCTAGAATTTTTCGGTAATAATTCGTAAACGAAGCCGCGGATTGCATTTTCGCTGAGGAAACAGTTATTTCAAATGACCTTAGGGACCCCTCATTTCCCGGAAGTACCATAATTTTGGGACACTCTGTAAGATCACAGACGAGATATCTTGCGACGTAATGCCGTTCGGGCGGTGCCGTAGACGAGTAAACACGCGCTTTTGTTTTTGTTCCGTCTGTGACCACTTAGTCAGTGGAACCAAACTTTGTTGAATTGAAGCGTATTTAGCGAGATAACACGTCCGTGGCACCGCACAAGCGGCATTATGTCGTGGGATAACACGTCCAAGGCACCGCACAAGCGGCATTATGTCGCGGGATAGCACGTCCGTGGCACCGCACAAGCGGCATTATGTCGTGGGATAGTATGTCCGTGCCACCGCACAAGCGGCATTATGTCGCGGGATAACACGTCCAAGGCACCGCACAAGCGGCATTATGTCGCGGGATAGCACGTCCGTGGCACCGCACAAGCGACATAATGTCGTGGGATAACACGTCCAAGGCACCGCACAAGCGGCATTATGTCGTGGGATAGCACGTCCATGGCACCGCACAAGCGGCATTATGTCGTGGGATAGCACGTCCATGGCACCGCACAAGCGGCATTATGTCGTGGGATAGCACGTCCATGGCACCGCACAAGCGGCATTATGTCGTGGGATAGCACGTCCATGGCACCGCACAAGCGGCATTATGTCGTGGGATAGCACGTCCATGGCACCGCACAAGCGGCATTATGTCTGTCTCTTATACACATCTAGATGTGTATAAGAGACAGACATTACGTCGCAAGATATCTCGTCTGTGACCTTATACCAGGGGTGGCCGAACTTTTAATCGCTACAATTTTTTTAAATTATAGTCGGCGGTCTACCAACATCGTCTACGTTAAGTGATCATAAGAAAATAGTAATTTAAAGCAAAAAATAAGTTTAAATTTAAAATAAACATAGATAATATCAGACAGGCGAGCGGCTAGGAATAGTTATGAGGTCAACTGGTCGACCATGGTCACGACGCTTTGGTCACACCTGCATTATACAAACAGTATCAGCGTCGCGACGTAACACGTTAGAGAGAGCGTAGCGGTAAATTGAAAATTCAAAGTGCATGAAAGAGGCTACTGGGGTGGGGGAGGGGGGGGGGTAGCTGTGCAAAAATGTATTGTGAAAGTAGAGAAATGTTGTTTTGGACTAGGTGTGTCATAGACGTGCATGAAAAAATGTTAATAAGAATGGCTGTGTAAAAACTCGTGATGCAAGTTGATATTGCTCTGATACTGTTCACAATTTGTATTCAATTTTTATAGTATTCGAAAGATGTTTAGAAAATGTTGCACAATGTTTTATGAAACATATTAACACTTTCACCTGGTTTTTATGCACGTGAGACACTTGGAAAAGTATCGAACACGCACTAGAGAATTCATTTTTAGTGTCACGTTATATGAGCCGTTTATCTTGAAAGTGGCATAAGTCACTTTGTTTTTAAGTCGATATATTTAAGGGTTTGCGTTTTAACACATTTAAAAATATGGATGCTAACTTTCGAGAAGATTTACTTGTATTTGTTATCTCAGGATACTGATATTTTTCTCAGTATAAATAATTTCGTATTTATAATATTTAATAATAATAATATTAATAATAATAATATTTAATAATAATAATATTTAATAATAATAATAATATTTAATAATAATAATAATAATAATATTTAATAATTATAATAATATTAATAATAATAATGTTTAATATTTTTCGTAAAAAATCACCACTTTTCATTACGGTAAAGTGACTTATGCCACTTTCAAAATAAACGGCTCATATGTCCAGTTTACCTTGGTCGACGAAAGGCAAAATCCGGGACTCATGCCCGGGTACTCCTTCTTGAAACAGCATAGCAAGCAGATTCCGAAGCTTCCCGAGAGCAGCAACTACGAGGAGAGTGGGAATGAGCGACGATCTGTTTACAGATTTTCTGGGAAGAGGGATACGGAGACACAATACTGACCGGCATTCCGCTCCAATAAGGATTATCAGCGACAGGTAAATGAGGCGCCCAAAGGAGCAGCCATAGCGATAGTGCTGTGATCGCGATGCCGAGGATCGTCTGCAACGCTGCCAAGCATCGTCCTAGTCGCCAGTGGTATACCAGCGGTGGCAAAAATTTTTGTGGTCCTGAAAAAGAAACATTACGAAATATTAAATTTACACGGAGTTACTAAGAAATTCTGTATACACACACACACTTTGAAGGAATTATTAAGAAATATTTAATTATCGAATTTATAAGAAATTAAGAAATATCGACGCTACGTCTACCGAAAGATTATTGTGGAAGATTTATTGTGCTAAGAGAAATCTAAGCGAAATTGATAAATAATGCTACTAGGGACGAGTTCTTTGTACACGATTGAAATAATTAGTGACGCTAGACAATTTGTTAAGAAGTTCATTAACTATAAGATATATACTTAAAAGAAATTAAGAAAAATGAAATGATTAAATCTACAAGAAATTAAGAAAAATGAAATGATTAAATCTACAAGAAATTAAGAAGTATTGAATTATTAAATTTACAAGAAATAAAGATGCCTAACGTTAAGTCTCGTTTCAGATGCAAGTGTCTATTATGTNAAATTAAGAAAAATGAAATGATTAAATCTACAAGAAATTAAGAAGTATTGAATTATTAAATTTACAAGAAATAAAGATGCCTAACGTTAAGTCTCGTTTCAGATGCAAGTGTCTATTATGTTCTGCTCCTTTGGCAGTGTTTCTAATCGTAAAGAGAAACGCCGTCGGAAAGAGAGACGGAGAAAATAATTGCGCTGTCAGTTTTCTGAAATTCATTGGAAAGATAACGAGAGAAATTATACGCGAGCTCTTTGAATCGCGTGGCAGTATCATAATACGATCTACGCTGATCCTGATTCGTGTTAAGGACTTCGTTACGCGAAATAACCAGCCTAACGGGCGCGATAAGATCTCTCGATTACAAATTTACAACATGAATAAACGGACTAAGGGCGGAAAGATTAAACGAAACTCAAAGCGCTTGCATTATTTCAATCAATAAAACCCGGTTACCGATGTTATATAATTTATAGTTTCGCGTCCGACTCGTCTCTTCGTAACCCTAAACTCAACTCGGAAACAAACCTACGAATTCTCTACGAAATCCACTATACTAAGTAATTACCGATTTGTTCAATGAAATAAAAAATTTGTTTTTATTTAGAACGAAGTTTAATCTGTAATGTATTTTCCATTTTGTTCGATGACCTTTTGCCGTCTCTCTGACAACTTGAAAATTCCACACTCGTCTTAGAATTAAATCATTATTTGCTTAGTTTAAGAAATAGATTTTTATTAGAATTAATAATAATAATTTTATAATATAACATTTACGGATATCATAAAAGTGGAATTGAGAGACACCTATAACTGAAATCGGCAATTACTTAGTTGCCAACTCAATGCTTGCATGAAAATTGCCAAACAGAGTACAGTAAATTCTTCCTAATTGACGCACGGATTGTACGCAAAAAATGTACAATTTAAGAAGAAGAGATACGATTATTCGAGCCATGCGACTCGTTTTTATCGTTACCGATTGTTAACAACTATAAAAACGAGTAATAATCGTATCTCTTTTGCTCAAGTTGTCCATTTTTGTGTACAATCTGAGCGTCGATTATGAAGAATTTACTGTACATTTCTTAATTTTCGAACGAGATTGAGACGAACTCGCATATACGTATCGATTTTGTTCTGCCAGCGACGACGTCGCGCTGGAAAGCCTTCGTAACGCATGATCGCCATAAATCGGCGGGATCGTTGTATCTATTAACCGTCCGGCATCGTGCCGGCATCAGCGATGCCATAAATTATTAGACATAGCAAAGGATCCCGTGTCCCTACAAGCTCGACAATCCTGCATTGACATTTTCCTCGAGAGCCGGCCGCGCTTCTTTTTCTGCCGCGTCGTGTGCGATGCCTATCTCTCTGTGTTTCTCGCGGTTTACGACACACATTTTCCCATAGGCGAACCGACGATTAACGGGTCGATACGCGACGGATTCCGAGAAACGAATGTAGGGCCGAAAGAAAGGAGAGTTCCCGAACGAAACACGGCCTCGCGCTGTCCCTCCTTACAAGGCAACCGAACCGGACGATCGAACGTCGTGCCGTCCTTGCCATATCGAACTGTCAGGAAACTCGCCCACTAGGGTCGTTTACACAAGATTTGCAACGGTTGTTCCTCGCCACCACCGGGGAAACGGAAAAATTGTAACGTCGACCGTCGCCCACCTAGGACCGTGATAGCAGCGCCCGGATCGACCTTGACTGTGCCTCGATAAGCCTTTCGAATAGTACCGAATCGAATCAGATCTGTGTTGACACTACGATGATATCCGCAGGGTCTCGCAGAACTGGATTGTGGATTTTATGTAATTATGGCGAAAATTGATAGACGAGATATAACGTAACGAAAAGACTGAAAGAAACTAAGAAAGTAAACGTAATAAAGTTATTTATGGGATTACGAAAATTCTATTTGGCACCTACGTCTTGCAATCGATACAGATGTCTTTTATTTTGTATAAAAGTCCGCGGTCTATTCATTACAGTTAACTGCTAGCAATAAATAATAGCAATAATAAATAATGATAGCATAATATATAACAATAGCATAATAAATAATAAGATTTACATTTATTTATATTATAAGATATTATATTTAAGATATTATTATTATATTATAAGATTTTATTCCTCAATTGTAATTTTCTCAATATTGTAAAGAAATAAAAGATTTCTTTAACAGAAAATTTCATTAGATTCGATTAGGGGCCAAATATTATACCTGTAACAAAATGACAAGGGTTTAAAATTAATGTAACAACGTCCAGTTAAAATATCACCGATTTAACAATTAAATCTTCGGATATAAATATTGCATTAGAAAATCAAGCTTATCATATCAACGTAATCGTTTCACGTTATTATTATTATTATTATTATTTCAGACAGATAATCGAATCTGTGCCATCAATGTAAGATGTAATTTGTTATTCAATTGATGTTAACAGCGGCAGAATTCTCATAGCGAACGCTGACAAATATACTTCAGTTTACACAAAAATGTTACAATTATACTGTAATAGTGTAACTTTTTTTTCGTTACTAATGAATCTGGTTTTTGTCAACTTTGTAAATTAAACTTGATATTAAAACAATTTGTGTAGTAAGAAGTAAATATATGGTATATGTACGTGTAAATATTTTCGTAGTTTCTATTAAAGGGATTATAGGAATTCCTTGAAAAATTCTAATCTAAGTTATTTTTTAAACAGAAGACTGTGAACAGCGCACAAGTAATACAAATAATAACGATCATAGCTTTATTATATTATCATTATTATCATTATTCTATTATCATATGAGCCGTTTATTTTGAAAGTGGCATAAGTCACTTTTTCAAAAAAATTGAGTTAATGGTAACACTAATTACAATTGAACGGTATCTTTCCATTAAAAAATAAAAAGTGACTTATGCCACTTTCAAAATAAACGGCTCATATATGTAATTTATTCAACAATTTTAGTAAATCACTGTCCTTTCGAAACATCACTTCGGTAAAATACGTCGGTCAAAATTAATATATGTCAGTCATTTTTCTAAACTATTTATTTTGAAAGTGGCTCAAGTCACTTTTTCAGAAAAATTGAGTTAATGGTAACACTAATTACAATTGAACGGTATCATTCCATTAAAAAAAAAAGTGACTTATGCCACTTTCAAAATAAACGGCTCATATATGTAATTTATTCAACAATTTTAGTAAATCACTGTCCTTTCGAAACATCACTTCGGTAAAATACGTCGGTCAAAATTAATATATGTCAGTCATTTTTCTAAACTATTTATTTTGAAAGTGGCTCAAGTCACTTTTTCAGAAAAATTGAGTTAATGGTAACACTAATTACAATTGAACGGTATCATTCCATTAAAAAAAAAAGTGACTTATGCCACTTTCAAAATAAACGGCTCATATATGTAATTTATTCAACAATTTTAGTAAATCACTGTCCTTTCGAAACATCACTTCAGTAAAATACGTCGGACAAGATTAATATATGTCAGTCATTTTTCTAAACTATTTACTTTGAAAGTGGCTTAAGTCACTTTACCGTAATGAAAAGTGGTGATTTTTTAATGTTTATACGAAATTATTTATACCGAGAAAAATATCAGTATCCTGAGATAACAAATACAAGTAAATCTTCTCGAAAGTTAGCATCCATATTTTTAAACGTGTCAAGACGCAAACCCATAAATATCTCGATATAAAAACAAAATGACTTATGCCACTTTCGAAATAAACGGCTCATATATACACATTATTATCAGTATTTTGAATACTGAAGTGTTCCCGTCAAGCGATTCGGGACAACAGCGCAGCCAGAAACGAATTCCAAGAAGGGCTCTGGGAAAGGCCGTCCACTAGGGGAAATAATCCTCGAGAATAATTCCTTGTGGCTCAAGATTGCAGCGGAGAGGTTGCTAGAGAACCGTCCCCCTGAGAGAAATAATGATCACGATGATCTTTTCACGTGGAGAGCAACAAAACCTCGTAAAACCCTCGTCCCGTCGGCAGCTGGATATAATGACTGCGCGAAACTGACAGAGAGATGCGAAAATGATGATTTCAATGAGACTTCACAGTATCACGGAACCTACCTAGCAGAACGGGGAAACTACATTTTTTTTTTGCATTCGTAACTCGAAGCCTGAAGGGGCGCAATCATTTGTTAGCAGACGCTGCGAACCTTTCATTGTGAGAAAACGCAAAGAGATTGGACGAGCGGAGACTTCGATGCCGGCACGAACAGGTATCTACCGACCCTTTTGGACAAGCTTGCTATTTCGGTTAGGGTTGGACGAATCAATCTTTCGTTTATTACAAACTATGCAGTCTGATCTTCTAATACAATATTCATATTCGAAGATTTAATTGTTAAATCGGTGTTTCTTTTTTTTTAACTGGACGAGATAGATATATTAATATATATATATTATATATATTGTATTACCATATATATATTATATTACTATTATAGATATATTAATCTTAAACCCTTGCCATTTTGTTACAGATGTAACATTTGAT